GAATGAAAAAATGAAATAAAAGGACATGCTCCTTCTAAAGTTTGGAGATTTTTGTTGTAGATATAAGGGAGAAAGCAGGCAGAGGGAAGATCCAGGCTGAACGTGACTGGCAGACTAAACCCCACCATGAGAGGAGAGAGCAAGAGAAGGAGCCATCGACCAAGAAAGGGGGCCCAGGCCAAGAGACCAAGAGACCAGTGTAGCCAGAATAGCTGAGTGATATAGGCACTAGGCCTGGGGGGCGGGGAATGGGGGGTGGAAGCCCAGCCCCTGGGAGGGAGAGGTTTAGGGTAAGGGCGGGCAGGGTGAGGAGTTCTGGGAGGAGCCACAGGCATGGAGAGATTTGTCCTGGGTTTGAGACCTTACATTCCAGCCTTTTGTTGATGATAAGGAACCAAAATCTCTTCTGTAACTGCTTCCACAGGTACTGAGTGAGACTAGCCCTTGGTTTCTTTGAGACATGACAATTAGGACCGAAAGCTCAAAGCTGGTTCACACTTAGTGACTCAGTGCGAGTCACATTTAGGCTGCATCTGGCGGCTCGTCTCTGCTGTGGCCTAACAGCAGCCAGTGTATCGCAGTGTATTTCTGTGTTTTCTTAGGAAGCTGAGAAGGACCATGGAAGACCAAATTCTGTGATGTCTTGTCTCCTAAGTTATATAGACATAATCTACCTTCTCCAGATGTCAAGGGACCGTCACTCTTTCTTTGTGTGGTACTGTCAGTGACACCTACCAGTCTGTAAAAAAAAAGATCCTACTGAGGAATTTCGACTTCAGGGTCTAAAATGTTGCTGTGACTGGGTGTGTCCAGTGTAACCAGCTGCTGCTAAGCAGTGTTCCAACGTTGACACCACCGCCACACCCCTGGGTTGTTGAACTAAACTGAGTTCTGTGGAACTGTTTGGTGAGCTCCCCTGGTGGAGGGTGTGGACACTCATGAACAGGGCACTTGTTCTGTACGGATGATTTATATGATGGAAATTCCTGCCTACTCCCTAATAAACTAATAAGTTAAAACCTGCAGTAAACTGTAGACAAAAATATCCTGGCTTCTTGGAATCAAATAGTTACTAGATTCATCAGTTTTTGAGTTTGTTGCCTAGCACGCACATGCACATGTGCGTGCGTGCGTGTGGTGAGGAGTTTGGGGGAGGGGGGGTTAAGTCATGAAGCATAAGTCACAGACGTGCTCCCCTGGAGGTTCCCAGCAGCGAAATACCCTCCAACACTCCTGGCATTCATTTCCTCCCTCTTCACTACTGTGTGGATTTCTTCCTTGTCCTTTAATGGTTCTTCTCAGATTCTTTTCCTTATAGACAAATTCCTCAGTAGGGTCTTTACTTCTTTAAGAGTCAGCCTTACTGAGACAGGTAGGTGTATCACTGATACTGATTAGGATATAACACTTCACAGAAAACTTCAGGCATCAAATATTAACTAATTTTTTTTTTTGCCTTGAGTTGTGAGTGCCCATGCCCCAGAGTTTATAATGTTTTAAATTAGTATTATCATGTATCTGGTTTCCTTAAGGCCTTTTCATGTATCTTCAGATTGACTCCCCTGCCCTCCTCCCTTCTCTGCCCCCTCCCTCTGCCCTTCCTTTCCCTTAGCCCTCTGCACCCTGGTTCTCCTCTAGCATCCTCCTAGCCTCTCCTTCACGCTCTCCTTCACTTCGCTTCCGAGGAATTAGTCTTACAAGCCAATTCTTGTTTGTTGTTGTGCCTCGCTTTCTCACTTTTGAGACAGGTCTTCAGCATGTAGCCCAGGCTGCCCTTGAACTTGCTGTCCTCCGGCCTGTTGAATGCTGGGATTACAGAAGTGCACTGTTGCACCCAGTAGTATAGTGTTTTGAAGTTTAATTACTGGAAAGGATGTGGGTAACTCTTATCTCTAAATATTTTGCTTCACAAACTTTATGGTGTATGGATCAGAGATTATTTATCATGAACATCCATGATTTTGAAGTTGTTGTGTTTTATTTGTTTGTTTTGTTTTTGTTTTTCCTCGTGGAAAAATTGTAAGTCAATGAGATTGGTGTTTGGTTTTTTTTTTTTTTTGGTTTTTCGAGACAGGGTTTCTCTGTGTAGCTTTGCGCCTTTCCTGGAACTCACTTGGTAGCCCAGGCTGGCCTCGAACTCACAGAGATCCGCCTGGCTCTGCCTCCCGAGTGCTGGGATTAAAGGCGTGCGCCACCACCGCCCGGCGGTGTTTGGTTTTTAATTCATCATTATAGAATAAAAAATTCCTTTAGCATACATTCTTGAAAAAAAATGGACCTAATGGTAATTAAATAGCTAAAGATTAACTGTGGATCCCAAAGTTCTTTATTTAATGGGAATGTTAGTGTTCCAAAGAATTCCTTAGCGTATAGAATGAAGATGTGATCCAAATTCTGTTTCCTTCCTGACATTATTATTTAATTGCATTTCAAGTACTGTCAGCTAAAAATATAAATTACATTTTCTTAAACATCTCTAACTTGTTTATACATTGAATTTTTGTCTTATTATGCTTCCAAGTTTAACTTAAATATTTGAAAACATTATTGTACATAAAATCATCAGTTGTAATGTTTTTTCTTTTTAAACATTCTATTTTGACTCTGTGTGTGTGTGTGTGTGTGTGTGTGTGTGTGTGTGTGTGTGTGTGTGCGCACGAGCGTGCATATGGAGGCCAGAAGAGAGAGAGTATTGGTCCCCTGGTGTTGAGTAACAGGCAGCTGTGAGGCACTTGATGTGGGTGCTGAGAGTTGAACACATGTCCTTTGAAGAGCAGGAAGAGCTCTTGCCCACTGCCGAGCATCTTTCCAGCTCCATCACAGGAAGTTTTTTACTGTTCTTACATCTAGATAGTTGCCTCTTTTTGCATCAGAATATTCAAATATTGAAAAACATACCACAATATGTGTGGTGCTGATGGTGTACCTATTTTACAGTATGATTCAGTTGTATTCATAAGTTCAGAGACAAATAAGTCTCTGAGTTTTAAAATACATATCCAGAGCCATAATTAAATAAGAATATTTCTGAGGTATCAGTTCGACCTAAAATGAATGTAACAACTGGATTTGCAGCAAAGTTCTTGGTGTGGGAAGTGAAAGTAACTGCTGAATGGAAGCTACTGGCTTTTGCAAAATAATTGGAAAACAATTAACTTTTTAGAATATAATCACACACACACACACACACACACACACACACACACACACACACACACACACACGCAGCCCAAGAAAAATCTCCTGCCGTAACAGACCGTCTGAAGCCACTGTGTCATGGTAGCCTTCTCCTATTTCAGGTGATTTCGGTAACTGCTGGGTTAGGAAGATGATGACTTCGCTGTGACGTAAGGCACAGAAGACTCTGTCTCTGTCATCTCCTCTTGGTTTTTAATGGTGTGATGCTTAAGTTGGGACTTTGTCTTCCTTAGAGCGCCTTTCAGCCTCTTCCGTGGTTGTGGTGGTTGTGGTGGTTGTTGTGGTTGTGGTTGTGGTTGTGGTTTGTTTCTTTTGGTTCATGGATGAGAACAGCTACCGAAGCATACGCAGCATTTACGAGGAAAACTGACCATCCTACCACACTGAGAATTAATTCAGAGTGGGTGATAGTGAGCTTCTCAGCAGGAAGCCTTGGAGAAGAGTACTTTCTTTAGTATTTACAGCAAGTAAGAGAGTCTTCATCTACACTTGGCAGTTAGAAGAACTACGTCACAAATGAGTATTTTGTAGAAAGATCTGTGAACAAGAATTATGTAAAGAGTTTGTTCATCAAACACATGAGATGTTGGCCTACAAGGCTTAGGTCACAAGAAGGGAGCCGATCGGGTCCTTCCTCTTCCAATCAAAATGACCTCACACAAGTGCACGTTTACAGATTACAGAGCAAATGACAGCTGATGTCTGTAGAGTAACAACTGGTTGGCTACTTATGTTACCTATCTTCTACTGCAACGGAACTAAAGAGGACATTTGAGGGCTTATCCTATTAAAGCAAAATAACAAAAATTTCACACGTGGATAGAAAATGCATTGTGATCTTATAAAAAGTTTTCATTCTTGCTATAAGATGTAAGACTTGTTACTCTGCTTTGAACAACAACAAAAACGTGGGTCTTTCCTATAAATGTTACTGTTTCTGTGCTTAAAGGACAAACTCAAGACAAAGGCCCTGTGCTCACAGAGCTGGGATGATAGAGAGGGGGTGGGCCCCTGTGCTCACAGAGCTGGGATGATAGAGAGGGGGTGGGCCCCTGTGCTCACAGCTGGGATGATAGAGAGGGGGTGGGGCCCTGTGCTCACAGAGCTGGGATGATAGAGAGGGGGTGGGGCCCTGTGCTCACAGAGCTGGGATGATAGAGAGGGGTGGGGCCCTGTGCTCACAGCTGGGGTGACAGAGAGGGGTGGGGCCTCAGCCTTCGTTCTCTCCTTCCCTCCCAGGGCAGTTCTTAGAACAAGGACAGTGACATCCTCAAGTTAAATTTCTGAGGAAGGAGCTGTGCTTGTGCACACCTAGAATTATGACTGAGAGCCTGTCCCACCACCTTCGGCTGGGTTTCTTACGACTAAATGGGGAAATATGGGAAACAAACAGATAAATGTATGTTGGTTTTTTGCCTCCTGTGGTAGGAAAAATAGTATATGATTAATAATGTATTATTCTCCAGAATTGAAGTAGAATATAATGCACCTAAAATATTTAGACTTGATGAGGTTTCGGTATCTTATTTGATATTTTGATTAAGATTGGAAATAGCATCTTAAGATAATTCAAGATTTAGATATTCACACCAATCAGACAAATGGTTGTGCATTGTGACTCCACAGTAATTAAACATTGAGCTACTACTTTGTGCAAGGGAAATTGTCACGTGGACTTGCTGTAATTTTTCATTGAGAGAACAAAACTTTGAAGGAACCGTGAAAATAACCTTGGGGTTGATTGGCTTTCCTATCTTATAAAGCTACTTAAATGACGTGTCTAATTTTATATTTTCTTTCAGATTCAACCCTATGAAAAGATAAAGGCCAGAGGCTTGCCTGATAATATATCTTCTGTGTTGAACAAACTGGTGGTGGTGAAACTCAATGGTGGTTTGGGAACTAGCATGGGCTGCAAAGGCCCCAAGAGTCTGATTGGTGTAAGAAATGAGAACACCTTCTTGGATCTTACTGTTCAGCAAATCGAAGTGAGTAGTAGTTAGCCATTCTCATACTAAAGTAGGTTTAGTTTTTACACTAACGTAAGTGCTATATTAGGAAATGTGGATGTGAGTTTGAGCTAGTCGAAAAGAGTGCTATTTTGTCTCTTTGTTAGTGTGGGGGGTGTTTGTAAGGGTATATCCTTAAGATGTAAAAGTTTGATTTTACATAGCAGTTGTAGTTACTGAAAACCTGAGTCTGTTCAGATTCTCCTTTGATCTGCCTGAATGAACTACTTTCTCTCAGTGACAACCTTCATGACGCTCGAGTTTTCTCACTTAATCCCTTTGGGGAAGCTGGGGATGATGTCTCACATCTGGTAGGATGTGGTAGATGCAGAACTATTCTTGGCTTCCTTCTTTGACAAAATTTCTAACTGTAGACCCTATGGTGCAGAGACCTTGTCTTTTCCTCCATTGTTTCCCTAGTCTGGCCGGCAACTGCAGTCACAACCCGAGCAGCAGCTAAGCTAATGTGTGCCCAGTAGTCACTGTGCACCAGCTTTGCTAAGCACCGTCTCCAAAGTGACCCGTTTATTCCTCTCAACAACTCACAAGTGTGCAAGGCTTCTAGTTAGTAAAGCAGAATCCAAATTTGAACATAAGACAGTCTGGTTTCTGAGAGTCTCTTTCCCTACTGTGTTGCCTCCTTTGAGAGACTGAGAAGATTTCAGTGGAAGTGTGATTGACGTTTGAAATTCACCCTGAGGACAGGAGACCGTGACTTTGTAGCATTTGTGTTCTCACCCCACAGAGCTTGGATACAAGAGCAAACGCTTATTTAGCACCTGTCTGCCTTCAGGCCAGGACTGTTGGCTGTGCACACAGCTCCAGTGCAGACTGTCCTGAGCAGCCAAATTTGGGCCTCAGCTGAGTTAGCCATGAAATACAGATAGTAGCTTCTGTTCCAAAGGGCCATGATTTATTGAATGAATACTTGATGAACTGCTTACCCACACGTCTGGCTCATGCCAAGTGGTTACTTATGTAAAATGTACATGTATATATATGTATATATAAACCCAGAGAGAGTTATAGGTCAGGTTTTAAACATTTTGTGATTAGCCCTTGAAGAGACAGTTTTAGATTGCAAGTCAGAGAACGTGAGTCTGGATGATCTGATTATCACTCTCCTCTTCAGCATTTGAACAAAACCTACAATACAGATGTCCCTCTTGTTTTAATGAATTCTTTTAACACGGATGAAGACACAAAAAAAATACTTCAGAAGTACAATCATTGCCGTGTGAAAATCTACACCTTCAATCAAAGCAGGTACCGGAAATAAAAATAACTAGCTGGTGGGATTTGACCCCTGGGAATTCTCTTTATTGTTGCAACACAGTGGCCTCATGCAGCAAAGGTCAATCCATGCAAGAACTTGACACCTTTAAAACTAAATACAGGCTCATAAACATGGGATGGTTATAAATTTTGGTTCTGTAATTTCCAGTTTCTCAGGGGATCTGCTTGAGATCTTATTCTATGTCCTAGATATTTAAAGGCAGCTTATAAAGTCTTCACGTGTTTAAGGTCTCCAGTCAGGTGGGTGACTTCCTGCAGACAATACTAAGCATCTTTACTGTGGGAGAGTTTCTTCACCTAGGTAGATAAACCTGTGGAAATTTAAGTAAGTTTTAGAGAAAAACATCTACTCTGGGGGGAAGTAGAGTGAGTAGAAAGGAATTCAGATGATTGGTGGACAAGCTTTCTAGTTAGAGGTAGATAGACAGCAGCCTACAGAAACGTTTTGGAAACAGTGTCTAAAGTTGACACTGTTCAGTTTGACACAAGTTCAGTTTGTTGGTATTTTGAAATCTGTTTTCACATCACTTTTTTTAAAATCATAGTGTGTGTTGCCTGTTTCCTAGTGGGCTGTCCACGTGCTCTTTCCCACTTTCCTCTCCTGTTTGCCAGCTCTTAGCCGTGTGCAGACACCTGGGTGCTCAAGGAAGGGGAGCAACCCCTGATGCCTGTGTTTAAGAGTGGGCAGACTGCCTCACATAGATCTTCAGGCACAAGAACTAATAAGTTTAAAAATATTTACTTACTGAGTCCTTCCTCTTAGAGAATTGTAAAAAATACCTTAAAAATATGAAGTGTCTTCCTGTTTGTATGGCCATGGAAAACTTCCCTTGAATAACTATCGAGAAAATGTATTTTTTAAAAAATAATAATGACAGATTATCTTAAAAGGATTCACCTATAATTTAGTATTGAAAGTCTCTGAAATGGAGGGATGTTTTAATATTTTAAAAAGATTTTTGTTTTATTTTTTATTATATATATCTCTGTATATCTGTGTGTGGGTATGTGCACGAGTGCAGGTACCCAAGGAGGCCAGAAGAGGGCGTCAAATCCCCTGAAACTGGGTTTACAGGAGCTTGCAAGCCACTTGATAAGGGTGCTGGGAACTGAACAGTGCAAGCTCTTAACCATTGGTCCATCTCTCCAGCCCTTGTTTAATTTTAATGTGTTGTTTTACTTGAAGGATTGGGGTACACTAAATAAAGAACTTTCTTGTTTTGTTTTTAAAGGTACCCAAGGATTAATAAGGAATCCTTACTTCCTGTAGCAAAGGATGTGTCTTACTCAGGGGAAAGTACAGAAGCTTGGTACCCTCCAGGGCATGGAGACATCTATGCTAGTTTCTATAACTCTGGCTTGCTCGACACCTTTCTAGAAGAAGGCAAAGAGTATATTTTTGTGTCTAACATAGATAACCTGGGTGCCACAGTGGATCTTTATATTCTTAATCATCTAATGAACCCACCCAATGGGAAGCGCTGTGAATTTGTCATGGAAGTCACAAATAAAACACGAGCAGATGTAAAGGTAAATACTGAGGAATCAATTTGGAGATTCATGTTTTTACATTTGATAAATTATATAGTTAAAATATTTTTTCTGGTTTATAAGTTTCTATTTTATGCACAACATATTTATTATTTACTTAACATCATTTTAAGAGATTGTGATGTTATTCTGTGAGGTACCTTAAGTTCTAAGATAACAGTGTGTATCATGAGCCCAGAATTAATAGTAGTGTAAATCTGTGTCAGTAATTTAAATTAAAAGTTTCATATGTTTCTATGGAACAATGTGAAATATGAAAACACACAGCAGATTTGTTCACACCATTACTACTCTTCAAGTTTGGCATATTTTATTATGTCATCCCTTTCATGGAAATTTATTTCTATAAAATGTGTATATGTGATATATGCATACTTTATGTATTATATGTACTTTGTCAGTGCACTGTCTTTATAGTTGTATAAAAATAATGCAGTTGTTTAGTACAAAGTATAAATTGAACACTACATATTTGGTGTTGTCTGTAGGACTAAACTGTGTGGTGATGGGTAGTGGTTTGGGAATAAGAGGAATGTTCCTGTAGCAGACCTTAGGAAGGGGAGGAGGACTCTGGTGTACTCCCCAAGGCTTTAATTATAGACTGAGTATTTAAAGTAACAATCTGAATCATGAATGTGTTTCTGGGTATTAGAAGGTTATATAGTCAGTGTCTTCTAGGAAATTCTACAAAAGTCATAATCAGTGTGGTATGACTGATTGCAAAGATTTGGAAGCATTCATGATTTTCTGCTTTTCTAGGGTGGGACACTCACTCAGTACGAAGGCAAACTGAGACTGGTGGAAATCGCTCAAGTGCCAAAAGCACATGTTGATGAATTCAAGTCTGTGTCAAAATTTAAAATATTTAACACAAACAACCTATGGATTTCTCTTGCAGCAGTTAAAAGACTGCAGGAACAGAATGCCATTGACATGGAAATCATTGTGAATCCAAAGGTGAGGGACGATCACAGTCCAGGGCTCCCTGGCTTCTAAAGGCAGACACCTGCCTACTCCCTCTGGCTAGTCAGGTTCTCCAGGTCTGGACTCATCTTAGTGATGGGCTCCTGATTTGACCCTAAGCTGAAAGGACCTCCTAAGTTCATTACTGCTTTTATACTCACATGCCATTTTCCTGTAGGAATCTTGAGTAAGTTTTCTCAACCCTGGGCTCTTTACTGAAAAATAGACATGTTGCTCACTCAAGTAAAGAGACTTAAAAAAATAAAAAAAATCACATATGGAGCATAATATAAGTTCTTGGCTAATGTCAGCTCTCTTGATTCTATGAAACCACTTCCTGTCGCAGCCTGAGTGCCAGCCTCCAGGCCCCACAGGGCTTGAAGGGAAACCCATAGCGTTGGCATAGCTGAGACTTTGGTATCTGAGGGGATTAGGGAAAAGGACACTACTCTTGATGGTTTCCTTTTTTTAATTCTCCTCTCATGTTGTTCTCGCCCTCCACCGCTTATATACCACAACAAAATCTTTCAGACAAGCCGGGCGGTGGTGGCGCACGCCTTTAATCCCAGCACTTGGGAGGCAGAGCCAGGCGGATCTCTGTGAGTTTGAGGCCAGCCTGGACTACCAAGTGAGTTCCAGGAAAGGCGCAAAGCTACACAGAGAAACCCTGTCTCGAAAAAAAAAAAAAAAATCTTTCAGACAATGCAAGAGTCACATTCCATTTCTCAAGTGAATGATTATAGGTAAAGACTTTTTTTTTAATCTCCCTAACAAGATTAAAAACAGAGTCATCCTGACAACTCACATGCAGTGTATCTAAGTAGTTTGTCACAGAATAATAGATCATTAGCTCAGCTATGTGTCCTTGTGAACTCTAGATTTTTTTCTGGGATTGTTTATCCTAAAAACTATTAACAAGTCATCTTGTCTAATCTGAAGTTATTTGGAAGCTTTGTTTCAGCTAATGATGCATACCAGAACCTGTGACTGCATATCTCAGCATTAAAGGAATTTGAGCCAGCCTGGCTCGTTGTGGTGTTCTTTTTTTTGTTTGTTTGTTTTTTTTTAAACATTAATTTGAGCTGTGATCTGAAGCAACTTCATAGGGGGACCTCATAGGCCCTGACTGTGTAGCATTTCCTTGTTTTTATTTTTATTCATTGAAACTCTTTATAAGCTAACATTATTATATCAATTAGACAGTACAGTTTAGGAAGGAATCATCTTCTTGACAATCCACAGATAAATATACCCAGTAGATTGGATGTTTTGGTGAGATAAACACACTACATTATAGGCAGTGTGTGTGTGGGGTGTCTCCCCACATCACTCATATCATGCCAGATACCAGAGAAAGATTGGAACAGCAAACATGTAAAGGTACAGCAGAAGCAAAAGACATCCTGGGGTCTGTAGTCTCATAGACTTACTTAAACAAGATTGACCCATCAGAGTTTCCTCCTGGTGGGCTGACACCTTGAACTTCAGTTGCCACCTGCTGCTTCTCTAACATGACCACTGGCAACTTTCCAAGTACTGACATCACACATGAAACAAAGCTGGGTGTATAAAGTCTGTGTTTCCTGGGTGTGGTGGTATAAACTCTTAGTTCTAGCAGTGGAGAAGTGGAGGTAGGAGGTAGTTCAAGGTTGTCCTCAGTACATAGAGAGTTTGATACCTGAGATTCTGTCTCAAAACAAATAAACAAAACCAAACAAGCCCCAAACCCTCTGTTTTCCCACTCTTACCCAACCTCCTTTTTTCTTCTTTCTTTTTTGATAGACTTTGGATGGAGGCCTGAATGTCATTCAGTTAGAAACTGCAGTTGGAGCTGCAATTAAAAGTTTCGAGAATTCTTTAGGTATTAATGTTCCAAGAAGTCGTTTTCTGCCTGTGAAGACCACGTCAGATCTCTTGCTTGTGATGTCAAACCTCTATAGCCTTAATGCAGGATCTTTGACCATGAGTGAAAAGCGGGAATTTCCTACAGTACCCTTGGTTAAATTAGGAAGTTCTTTTACCAAGGTAGGTAATTTGTAAAGGTAATTAGAGAATTATTTTTCACTGTTGACCTTTTGTATCCCTCTATCGTTGGTATGCAGGAATTGACTGTAATGTGTAGGTGCTCTGGAGAGTAGAAAAGAATGCTTTGATTTGGGGACGTTTTATTTTGTCTCTTCTAAGATAACTACTACTGCTCTCACCAGTCAGAAAGGGTTATTACTAGTTTAATAAATATGTATTGTGCTCTTGTCCTCTCTTGGCAGTTGCTAGATATGGAGATTTGTGGAGACCCACATAGGTTTCCTAGTGAGAGCTTGCTTTACCCAGCAGGGCTGCATAAGGGGATGATTTGACCACGGGCGTGGTTACCAGATGTTTGGAAGAGTCTGCACTTGACTGCAGTATGCTTTGATCTAGTAAGGGGGAGGTCTTTTGCCCCACCCCTTGGCATTATTTGATGAGACAGAAGGGGCTGGTGGATTTTGATCCAGGTCTTCCCCAAGCTATCCTGTGTTTCTGTCTCCTCTCTGCTATCTTTCTACCTAAAAGTTTCCTTTTTTTTTTAAATTAAATTTTTTTTTATTCGTTTTATATACCAAAGATCCCCCTCTTCCCTCCTCCTGCCCCTCCAGCCTCCCCCTTTCAACCCACCCCCCATTTCCTCTTACAAGAAGGAAGGAGGTACATTTAGTAGAGGCAGGTCCAAGATGTCCCATAATAGGTGGTGGGCTCCAGAAAGCAAGCTCATGCAACAGGGATAGATTCTGATCCTACTGCCAGGGGGCCCCTTAAGCAGATCAAGTTATACAACTGTCTCGCTATGCAGAGGGCCTAGTCCAGTCCCATGCAGCCTCCACAGCTGTTGGTTTGAATTTCATGAGTTCGCATTGGTTTGGTTTGGTTGTCTTTGTAGGTTTCCCCATCATGATCGTGATGCTTCTTGATCATAGAATCCCTCATCCCTCTCTTTGACTGGACTCCTGGAGTTCTGCCTAGTGTTTGGCTGTGGATCTCTGCATCTGCTTCCATCAGTTACTGGAGAAAGGCTCTATGATGACAGTTAGGGTATTCACTGATCTGATCACTGGGGTAAGCCAGTTCAGGCACCCTCTCCACTATTGGTAGTAGTCTAAGCTGGGGTCATGCTTGGGGATTCCTGAGAACTTCCCTAGCACCTGGTTTCTTCTATCTCCATGATGTCTCCCTCTATCATAGTATCTCTTTCATTGCTTTCCCACTCCATCCCTGTTCAGCTCAACCATCCTGTTCCCCCTATGTTCTCATCCCCCATCCCCTGCTCTCCATTGCTCATCCCTCATCCCCACTTTACTCATGGAGATCTCATCTGTTTCCCCTTTCCCAGGACAATCCATGTGTCCCTCTTTGGGTCCTCCTTATTACCTAGCTTCTCTGGAGTTGTGGGTTGTAGTCTAGTTATCCTTTGCTTTACATCTAGTATCCACTTATGAGTGAGTACATACCATGTTTGTCTTCTGAGTTTGGGTTACCTCACTAAGGATGATATTTTCTAGTTCCATCCATTTGCCTGCAAATTTCATGATGTCATTGTTTTTCACTGCTGAGTAGTACTCCATTGTGTATATATACCACATTTTCTTAATCCATTCTTTGGTTGAGAGGCATCTAGGTTGTTTCCAGATTCTGGCTATTACGAATAATGCTGCTATGAACATAGTTGAGCATGTGTCCTTGTGACCTGATTGAGCATTCCTTGGGTATATGCTGAAGAGTGATATAGCTGGGTCTTCAGGAAGATTGATTCCAAGTTTTCTGAGAAACAGCCATACTGATTTCCAAAGTGACTGTACAAGTTTGCACTCCCACCAACAGTGGAGGAGTGTTCTCCTTACTCCGCATCCTCTCCAACATAAGCTGTCTTCAGTGTTTTTGATCTTAGCTATTCTGACAGGTGTCGTTTTGATTTGCATTTACCCGATGACTAAGGATGTTGAGCAATTCCTTAAATATCTTTCAGCCATTTTAGATTCTTCTTTTGAGAATTCTCTGTTTAGCTCTGTTGCCCATTTTTTAATTGGATTGTTTGTTATTTTGGTGTCTAGTTTCTTGAGTTCCTTATATATTTTGGAGATCAGCCTTCTGTCAGATGTGGGGTTGGTGATCTTTTCCCATTCTGTAGGCTGTCGTTTGTCTTATTTACTGTGTCCTTTGCCTTACAGAAGCTTTTCAGTTTCAGGAGGTCCCATTTATTAATTGTTGCTTTCAGTGTCTGTGCTACTGGAGTTATATTTAGGAAGTGGTCTCCTGTGCCAATGCATTCAAGACTACTTCCTACTTTCTCTTCTGTCAGGTTCAGTGTAACTGGTTCTATATTGAGGTCTTTGATCCACTTGGACTAGAGTTTTGTGCGTGGTGATAGGTATGGATCATTTGCAATCTTCTACATGTTGACATCCAGTTACGCCAGCACCATTTGTTGAAGATGCTTTTTTTTTTTTTTTCCATTGTACAGTTTTGACTTCCTTGTCAAAAATCAGGTGTTCATAGATGTGTGGGTTAATGTCAGGGTCTTCAATTCGATTCCATTGGTCCACATGTCCGTTTTTATGCCAATACCAAGCTGATTTTATTACTATAGCTATGTAGTAGAGCTTGAGGTCAAGAATGGTGATGCCTCTAGTGATGGCTTTATTGTATAGGATTCTTTTAGGTATCCTGGGTTTTTTGTTTTTCCATATGAAGTTGAGTATTCTTTCTAGGTCTGTGAAGAATTGTGTTGGGGTTTGATGAGGATTGCATTGAATCTGTAGATTGCTTTTGGTAAGATTGCCATTTTTACTACGTTAATCCTACCTATCCACGAGCATCGGAGGGAGATCTTTCCATTTTCTGATGTCTTCTTCAATTTCTTTCTTCAGAGACTTAAAGTTCTTGTCATACAGGTCTTTCACTTGTTTAGAGTTACCCCAAGGTATTTTATATTATTTGTGACTTTTAATGACTGTTTCTATTTCCTTAGGGGTTATTGGTCTATTTAAATTTTTTATCTGGCCTTGATTGAACTTTGGTATGTGGTACCTATCCAGAAAATAGTCCATTTCTTTTAGATTTTCAAATTTTGTGGAGTACAGGTTTTAGAAATATGACCTGAAGAGTCTCTGGATTTCCTCATTGTCTGTTGTTATGTCTCCCTTTTCATTTCTGATTTTGTTAATTTGGATGTTCTCTCTCTGCCTTTTGGTTAGTTTGGATAATGGCTTGTTCATCTTCTTGATTTTCTCAAAGAACCAACTCTTTGTTTCATTGATTTTTTTGTATTGTTCTCTTTGTTTCTGTTTTATTGATTTCAGCCCTCAATTTGATTTCCTGGCATCTATTCCTCTTAGGTGTGTCTGTTTCTTTTTGTTCTAGAGCTTTTAGGTGTGCTGTTAAGTCGATAGTGTGAGATTTCTCCAACTTCTTTATGTGGGCATTTAGTGCTATGAATTTTCCTCTTAGCACTGCTTTCATAGTGTCCCATAAGTTTGGGTGTGTAGTACACTCATTTTCATTGAATTCTAGGAAGTCTTTAATTTCTTTATTTCTTCCTTCACCAATGGTGATTCAGTTGAGCATTATTCAGTTTCCATGATTGTAGGCTTTCTGTAATTTTTGTTGTTTTTGAAATCTAACTTTAAGCCATATGGTGGTCTGATAAAATACAGGTTATTCCAATGTGGTTGATTTTAGAGAAGGTTCCATGAGGTACTGAGAAGAAGGTATATTCTTTTTTGTTAGGATGGAATGTTGTGTAGATATTTAAGTCCATTTGAGTCATAACATCTGTTAGGTCCCTTATTTCTCTGTTAAGTCTGTTTCAGTCTGGCAGATCTGTCCATTGATGAGAGTGGAATGTTGAAGGCTCCCACTGTTAATGTGTGGGGTTTGATATGTGATTTAAGCTTTAGTAATGTTTCTTTCACAAATATGGGTGCCCTTGTATTGGGAGCATAAATGTTCAGAATTGAGACTTCATCTTGATGATTTTTTTCCTATGATGAGTATGAATTGTCCTTCTCCATCTCTTTTGATTAATTTTAGTTTAAAGTCTATTTTGTTAGATATTAGGATAGCTACAACAGCTTGCTGCTTAGGTCCATTGGATTGGAAAATCTTTTCCCAACCCTTTACTCTGATGTAATGTCTGTCTTTGAGGTTGAGGTGTTTCTTGTATGCAGCAGAAGGATGGATCCTGTTAGCCTGTGTGTTTTTGTAAGAGAATTGAGTCCATTGATATTAAGGTATATCAGTGACCAATGATTGTTGATTCCTGTTATTTTTTGGTTTTGATGTTGGTGGTGGTAGTATGTGTGTTTCCCTTCTTTGGGTTTTGCTGATGTGAGATTATCTATCACCTGTGTTTTTGAAGGTGCAGCTAACTTCCTTGGGTTGGAGTTTTTCTTCTAGTACTTTCTGTAGGGCTGGGTTTGTGGACTGGTACAGGACCAAGGATTCAAATACTGGAGCTTACAGGGGCCAATTCTCATTTCAATCACCACAGAATTGACTTTGAAAAGAAAATGAGGCGAGTAAAGTAGCTAGGAGGGAAGGCTGAGGTACTGTCAGGGTCCACAGACTTAGATTCTTAAAGCTACGAACTGTTAGGTTACAAGTGCAAAGAGGTGGTTAGGAAAGATGAGAAAAAACAAGAGAGAAGGGAAAGTGTATGGGATGTAGCTGAAGAGGATAGTTAAATAAAGAATGCAGAAGTATAATCAAGATGGAGAAATGCAAACAGTAATTCTGAAATGTACCTGAGCAGTGTATGAACAGAAGCAAAACAGCAATAAGGTATGTACACAAGAGCAGAGGTCAGAACTGGAAATGAGAGAAAATCCTTAAGGAGTGTTGGCACGGCTGTGCTCATGTGAAAGGTGAAGTCCTCGGAGCCCTCTGGCTCTAGTAGTTTCATGTGCTGCTGTCTGAAATACTTTTTCTGCTTCTTCTCAAAGGTTCAAGATTACCTAAGGAGGTTTGAAAGTATACCTGATATGCTGGAATTAGACCACCTCACTGTTTCAGGAGATGTAACATTTGGAAAAAATGTTTCATTAAAGGTTTGTATGATGAGTCATGTTTATTGTGGCTTATAAAATAGGCTTCACTTTCTAGTTCTAAATTTACCTTCATTAAGGAATAATTCTTAGTGTGAATAGATGATCTACTGTATTTTAGTACTAATGTATCCAGACACATAACCACTTAAAATACAAACATAATCAGGAGAGGAAGTTTGTGGAATATAGCCATCAATGAGAAAGGAAACACTAGGTAGTAGTGAAATGGGATGGTCTTCAGAATAGTCCCTATATAGCATTATGATCATTAGCTCACTCCAGATACTCTGAAAGTAGGAAAACTTCATTTATAGTAATCATCTATTCCTGTTGAGAAGTAGGAAGAGGGTAGATAATTAAAGCTCACAATTGAAGATACACTTTCCTTTTTCTAAGTACATGATCTAATAAAAACCCTGTATTGATATTTTAAGTGTTGTATTAAGGCCATTTGCTTCAGTGAAGGTGTTGAAACAAGATTATATGTGAATATAACTTCACTGTGTATACTGCTCAATCAAAAATCACACTAAGACATAAGAAATGTTTCCAATAACTTCAAAAACAAAAAAGGAAGGAGTAGGGGGCCAAGGAGATAACACACCTGTAGAGCCCACAAAAAGAGGCACAGTGGTACATGAGTTATCCCACCAGCACTGCAGAAGCAGATGGACAGATCCCTGCAGCCTGCTAGTCAGTCTCACCTGCTGCCTCACAGCAAAGTGAGATCGAGAACCCCTGTCAAAAAAAGGTGTGGGGCGCACTTGAGATTGCCTCTGGTCTTCCACACGCGTGTGCAGGTGCAGTGACAGACACAGAACAAAACCAACTCTGTAATATCAGCCGGGCACCCTTTACTTCCTTAAGAAGACTGACTAATGCCTTGCAAGTGAGCCTGAGACGGGTCATTGGTGTGTCTGCCACCTCTAAGAAGTCTAGAACCACTCCTAGGATTGTGAAAGATGGACACATTTCGTATTTCTGAGGCTACTGACCTTTCATGTTTAATCTTACATTTACAGCAACTACACTGTAAAAGGAGTTGTTGAACATGAGCTTGATTTTAAGATAACCAGTTGCATGTTTCAGTTGAAATTTAAAGTTACAATCTCGATTTTTTTCTTCACTTAGGGAACAGTTATCATTATTGCAAATCATGGTGACAGAATCGACATCCCCCCTGGAGCAGTGTTAGAGAACAAGATTGTATCTGGAAATCTTCGAATCTTGGACCACTGAGACAAATGCTTCCAGATTCACTTTATACTAATTATGGGCTAAAGAGTTTCTTACAATAAAATGTCCTCTAAGATGCTCAAATAAGCAGGTACTTCACTGTGCTGTACTCTGCAGTGTTGATTTTTAAAGTAGTTTTCTGCAATCTGCTTTTAGCCTAAGGAAAGCCTAAATGGAGCAATACTTTCCTTCTTTGATGAAGAGCCTAGTGATTAGTTCATCTTAAAGTGCAATATTATTTAATCTTAGAACTGTGCCAACTCGGCAGATCTTTAACAGAAGCTTGAGTGGTGGTCACTTTGAATTGCCTTTGATTTTAAAAATAAAGTGATACAACAATCCACTTGTTACCTTGTGCGTCTAGTGCTGTGTGTGAAGCCGCAGGAGACAGCAGTGCACGCTTGCTCAGTGTGGACAGTTTCCTGGAACGTTTGCTCACTAGCCAGTCAGCTGCCCACTCGAGGTTTGCTGTTTGTGTGTTTTCATTTCTAACACTAGTAAACAGACACTGTTACTGACACAGGAACTGAACTTGAAGGTATTTGGTGTACTTCATCTGGTTTTAAAATGGGGTCCCTGCTATGCTTTCTACATTTAATCAAAGTTCTTTTCCCAGCTGAATGGGTAGGGTAAGCAAAAGTAGAGCATGTCTTTCCCAACCTTGTGTTCTGGAAGAGTGTGTTGAAGAGGATAATGACTTCATTAGAAGTTCCCTTTCATTAAAGCTCCACTTCTTACACTTGTTATCACTTAGAAATACTTACAACCTTTGGAATCAGGTCTGCTGGTAGTTCACACAGTCCTTTCTCTAATCAAGTCATGTTTCCAGTTCTTCCACACTTGTTTTGAAAATGCTGTGTTAAAGTATACTGTATTCTGCACCATTGAAAACAGTTGCCTTTTAAGTCTGATGATTTTTTACATCTTTATTTTTGACAGTTTAAGAACCAATGACATACCTCTGTAATGATTAAAAAAAAAGATTCCTCTTGAGAAGACAAAACAAAAAAACCAACAAAATAAGGTTATTTCATTGTACAGTATCACCACAAGATTAGGCACTCTGACAGGGTGAGGCAAGATTCTGGGCGTGAGGCACAGGCACTTTCATTTGTATAGTGCTGCCGATTCTAAAGTCGTAAATCGCTTACTCATTGACCTTACATTTCTGGCCCCGACACAGCAGCCTGTATTTTAAAAGTTCTATTTATCCCTGGTCTTCACTTATATACATATCAAAAGTAACTTAAAAGCAAGAATCCAAGAGGGCCATATTTCATGTTATCTAAATGTTAAAATGAGAATTCCTAAGTAGTCATATTATATAAATATGTATTCTTGCCTCCACTAGAAATCAAAAAGCAAAGAAAAAACAAAAATACAACCCCAAACCCTTCATAGGTTCTTTTATAAATACAGCTATTAAACCATAGCCTTGTGTATCTCACTTCTGGAAAGTATTTAAATTAGTAGTTGCATAAGTAAATGCAAATATTCTTTATTCCTTATAATCAGTCTTCCATATATTTAGCAGTTTGAGGCTTTACCCAGTGACATACAGTGGTAGTGAAAAGGTTAAATATGCAACACACGAAACCTGAAACTGACATTAGTCACTAAAACAAAAACTGAATTCCTAAATCCAAGCAATCAAAAGATGTTTATTTTTTATAAAGATCTGTAAAAAAATAATTTTTCAAACAGCTTTACTTTCATAGAGAAAACTTTCTCCAGAGGTCGACTAAGATTTTAATATTTTCAATTGTACCATCATTAAATAAGGTGGGACACCATATGAATCTCATTGCACTGGAAGAAATGTAGAGCATTTTAATATAAAGTATACAGAGCGTTCTAGGCAGCTACAGCTGTGTTACAGCTATGTGTTCTTTTGGATTTGGTCCAAAGAAACCTGAGTCTGTTTCCAGAGAGAATGAAAATGTTATAGACACCTGATCAGTTACTCCTTACTGAAGGATGCACGAAAATGGCATTCCTTGAAGATCCCACTGAATCCAGCCCCCAACACTGACCCCTCCTCTTCCCTTCCCCGCCTCAGTTCACTCTGGGTCCCAGGTTCAGTTCCTAAAACACCAGGCATCCAGGTTTTCTTCAGAAACACGTGGTCTCCAGACTGTCATCACCTCTTCTGTTCCCAGATCTCGGCCATGTTTAGATCCAGGTCTTTAAGGCCTTTTAAGGCTTGAAGATTTCCAGTGTAAAAAGCTACATCCGCTGTGACCAACCTAGAGAGTAGGGAGAAAGATACTTTAAAATGTACAGATAATTCAAGAAGCAACATTCAGATGCTTAGCCTAGCTGCTAGAGGAGTTTTTTTTTTTTTGGTTTTTTTTTTTTTTTTTTTTTTTTTTTTTTGGTTTTTTTTGAGACAGGGTTTCTCTGTGTAGCTTTGCGCCTTTCCTGGATCTCGCGCTGTAGACCAGGCTGGCCTCGAACTCACAGAGATCCGCCTGCCTCTGCCTCCCGAGTGCTGGGATTAAAGGCGTGCGAGGAGTTTTAAATTCAGAATTACTAGGGATGACAAGCTTGACATTTCTCTTGGCAGATTCCCACTATCAAAAGGGCCATTTCATACTGATTTGATGTTTGGAAAAGGAATAAACCAATGCTTTTTGTAGTCAGTTAGAAATTCTGCCTGATAAAATCAGATTTATTTTTAAAAAGCATGAACTAAAGGAGAAATTAACAAGTTAAACTGGAGTGATTTCAGTTGGTGGTCACTACAGTGTGTTTGTATAGCTACAATAGGGGAAGCGCAAAGAAAGCTCGGGTTTCCTGGCAGTGCCTACAGATCAGAGAAAGCTGGGGTTCTTAGGCAAGCACTACTGAGTATCGAACAATACCGAGGACTGGGGTTGGGAGTATAGCTCAACAGTAGAGTGCTCGCTTAGCAAGAGTAAGGCTGTGGATTCCATCTCCAGCAAAATACACAAACAATGTAACAATCAGATTAATCCCTACACCAGAACATTTCCTTTAGACCCTGAACTGGGAAAGCAGGAGCTGCTTAGCCTGTGACTCTGGGAAATTGAAGTGTAATTTTTTTGTTTGTTTTAAATGCTGATATGCTGATACTATTTTATTCACATTCTTTTTTTTCAATTCAGGTATGTTTTAGGGTTCAGAAAAGTTTGTAAAATGAATTCTTACAGCATTAACACACACACACACACACACACACACATGCCAAGAGTGTGTGATGCACTGGAGGAGGTAGGTAATAGAGATTGAACTCCAGTCTTTACTAGGCAATTGCTCTATCACTGAGTTATCTCCCCAACCCAAATGGAAGATGTGAATTGTAAAAAGAACTAATCTTTAAATTAATGTCAGCTGAGCAAGGATTTGCTCCACCCACAAAATGCCTCAGAGGAACACCAAAGAACCTTTATGCAGAATTTTTTGTAGTATAGTATGAGTGATAGGGATAATTTAATTCACTTGAAAAAAACTCTGCACTTTATAGATGGGCAAATAAAGTATAATTATGATTGACTTTCAAGTTTTTAGTAGTTTGCCAATATAGAATGGGACCAGTATATACGAAATACTTAGCTTTCAATGTGGTTTCCCAGTAACTCATTAACAGCCACATGTGGTTTAGGTACAGTCACTTACAGCAGCTTGGTCTTCTGCTGGGATACAACAAATGCTGGTGGTATACCTCAAACTCCTAACCTCTTTAAGAAAAGTAGGTTCTTCCCTCCTTGACTGCTCCTCCGAGTGACCAACAAGGAAAGTAACACACTACAGATCATTCTGGACTGGGAATGTTTAGATTAAGAATTTTACCTATTCCAGCCTTTAATCTTGTGCAGTGATTTAAATGAACTACTAAGTAAACAATGTCTCTAAACCATTCACAACCCAGATTTGGAAGAAAATTAATGACCTTAAGGTCATAATTTCCTGGTCTATATATAAAATGCTTGACCAGACAACTTATTTAAATGGCTTCACAGCAAGAAAATGGATCATGAACAACATCTAGCTAGCAGGTAGGTGTGATTCTATGTGACTTCATTTAGAACATCAATTTTCCAGTCGCCCCTGGAGATCAGTGTGACTAAGCAGAGCTCATCGTTGACGGATGAGTTCAACACAAGGAATAACAGGAGGCATGCTTGGTTCCCCTACACAATGCCAAGGCAGACCTTCCTCTCACCATTTCACCTCTGCTTCTAAAGTGGCCCTGAAACCTCTGGTTTCTAAGAGAAATAATTTATTTCTCTTGCTTTTTAATTTTGCTTTCACAACAGACTACCTCTAATCAATAGTTCATATCATTCATAGGGTAGTTATTCAGGCACCAGAGAGATGGCTCAGCAGTTCTGAGCATTTGCTGTTCTTAGAGAGGACCTGGGTTAGTTCCCAGCACCCACATGGCAGCTCACAACTCTAACTCCAGTTCAGGGGATCCCATGCTCTACTGGCTTCCAAGGGCACTAGGCAGGTACACGGTACATAAACAGACATGCAGGTAAAACACCCGGACACATAAATTTTTTTTTTAAGATAAATAAATGGCACACCAAGAAAATTGTACTGAAGTTTAACAAGTGGGTGGTGCTTTTTACTTTTTATAAAATACACACACACACCCATTTTCACAATGCTAGAGACAGAAGCCAGGGCAAGTCTCTACTGCTCAATATCCCCAGCCTCAGATTTTATTTAATTTAATCTTTAATTCTCTTCATAAGAGGAAGAAAAGGGTTTTTTGTTTGTTCGTTTAATCTTTAATACTAGCAATTGGAGGCAGAGGCAAATGGATCTCTTGAGTTGGAAGCCAGCCTGGTCAGCATAGCAAGAGCCAGTCCCTGTCTAAAACTCAAACAAACAAACAAAAAATCGAAAATTCAGGCCTAGATAATGTAAGTGATTGTTCAAAATTTTATATATGAGCTGCTAGTAGGTGGCAGAGCTGGAGTTTAACCCACACTTTGTAAAATATGAATCCTATGGTTTTTAAAATATAATACTGTTTAATAATAATAGATTATTTTTCAGAGCCCTACAAAATAAGGCATATTTTAACCCTCATCATTTTATAAATGAGGCCATTCCCCTAGTCCAAGGGCCCTGGAGCGGAGCTCTGAGTCCTGTCTGGACAGAGCAGCACTACTCAGCCACCAGCCCACACTGCCTCACTGAGGGTCTGTAAGGTTCGGCAAGTAGCTGAACAGACGACCCTTATTAACACAGAGACAGTGGGAAGATACAGAGGCACGTCCACACAAGAAGACAACGAACGCTGCTGACTTCATGGTTTTCTTCTTTAGTGCCATGACAGCAGAAAGCATACCGTGAAGAATGACATGC